GCTAAAGGAAATATCTCGAATCAGAGAACAAATCATTTCTGGATCCTTCTTCCTAACTTATACATCAATGCAATTTATTGAACCGATTGCGATTGGAATAGCGAGCAAAGCCTTTAATTTCTTTCATCTAATCGCAAACGCAAATGTCAGAAATCCTTTTATAACATATATTGACAAAACCATCTGCATCTTACCTAGAAGAAACTGATCGTCTTGTATATGATCAATGAACCATTAGTTTGTTTGTTGGGATCTGTAAATGTGAAATACGTACAAGCACCAAACTCTTTCCGCGAGCTCGCCTAGGCATATACAGACAAGGCTATCAAGATCATTGCAAAAAAAAAAATCTTTTATAAAACTTAAAGGCATAGTTGTTGAGGAAATGATATGAACACAGAAACATGTTTAACTTACAGTCCTTGTGCTCGTTTAGATCTTTATTGCAGCTACAACATCTGCAGAAGAGAAGGGAGATAAGATAGATGTTGGTTTCTAGCTTCAGTTTAGGTTGAAGAACAATGTGAAGCTTATGTTTTAGAGAAACGTAACCTTGTTGTTGAGAGGTCTAGTTTCAACTGTTTCTCTATTTCGCCAAAATACATACCAAACAGAGGGGACCTGTGATACCATGTTATTCACGATCTTTAACAAAATGTTACTTTAAACAAGAACATAACACACACACACACAAATTTGTAGCATATGTGTGTGAGTAAGAGACATCACAAATAAAAGAAGAAAAGATGAATAAAAGCACTTAAATGGCTTCATTCAGGGGAATTTGGTGTGGCTAGTTAAAGTATACTCAAATAACGAAGATTGGGTTAGATTTTCTTCTAGTAGAGAAACATATCACTTGGTTCTATAATTTGCTTTGTCTAAACCAAAAGCTACTCAGAGAAAATTTCAGTGTTGGATTTCAACCACTAGAACTCTCAAGAGAACATAGTATAAGCCACACGGGAAGCATTTTATTGGTATATGTGATCAAACCTCTCTGCCAAAGCCAGAAAACAAGTTAAAATGATGAATTAGACAGTTGAAATTACCAAGATGGAATTGCAGCTGCGGTAAGGGAAGAAGGCAATTTCCAGAGGTGATGAAAACGACTCTCCATTATTTCTGTTAGATACTCAAGAATCTCTTCAACCTATCCAAGAGGAAACCAAGAAAGTTCGAAACCTGGTTTACAGACAGCAAATGTTTGGGTGCATATTTAAATTTCAATAAATGGTTGTAGAATAATAACCTTTGAATTCAAAGCGATCTCGTTCTGTTTCAGAATTTTGGATCTTTGAAGAAGCAGCTTACATAACTCCTCGTATTGTTCTGATACAGTGACAGATTTGTAAGAAACTGACATGATACCTTCGATTAAATGAGTCCATCTGCTTGTTACGCATCCTAGTAACAATAGCTCCTGCTCTCACAGAATATCACCACATGTGTTCAAGTAAGAATGAGCACCTTTTCTTACAGAAACAAAAGAGAACTAAATGGATATACTCATATACCTAGTTCAAGTATCAGATTCGACTTACAATCTTTTCGATGAATATATCATCCTCATTCTCAGCTGGAACCCGCAACCTTCTTAGCACTTCTGCCCACTGAGCTTTTGGTGCAGAAAATATCAAGCTAGCACCCGATACCAATCTCAAAGTTCTATTACTGAGAAAATAAGATAAACCTTTCGATTGCCAGATGTTCCATGTTAAAAGTTCAATAGGCTGTTGTCTCCGGCTAACAAAAGAAACCAACATCAAGATCATAAACAAGTAGCACAAGTTTATTGCATTATATGCTACCTCAGGGTTACAAATCTTACACACCGCAACTCGTTTGGCTCAATGTTTTTGGAAAGGATTTTCAGGCCTGTCTCAAGAGCTGATACACATGACACAACAGATTGCCGCTTGCATAGCTTCCCGTCGATTATATCTGTAATACCGTCACCAGATTTCACTGCTGCAACCAGAATAGCTTGGAGTTGTTTATCCTTCAATGTTGAGTTATTCATCAATTGCTCTAACACAAATTCTCTCCCCTCTAAAAGAGTACTTGATGATAGATTCTCTAAACCCTGATTTTTCCTCCAAACAAACGACAATTCCAGAAATTATAATCCGACTTTGGTTTCAATCATGATTAGAGATAGTGATATACAAAACTTAAGAAAACAACCTTTGGGAACAATGGGTTAGATTTCATCTCGGATATAGATTCCTCAAGCTCAATCACAGATTCCCCAAACGTGTCCGAACTAGTTATCCCTCTCATAACCTAAATACGAATTCTCCGATAGTCAAAACCAAAGCAATTACACAAGCAATGTAGCGGAAGAAATGAGTGAGAGTAAGCGAACATTTTCGAAGAAGAGACCCCATTGAAGAGCTTTCCTGCAATTTTCAGCATCCCAATGAGCAGGAATACCAGAAGATTGAAACCCAGAAGCAAGTATGAGCAAATCCACAAACCCTTTCAATAGCTTCATGAATTCTTCCTTGGAAATTTCTGGGTAATTCCAAGCCATTCTCTTTATGTTTTATTTCGATTCGAATGAGAAAAACTTTAATTCACAAAACCCCCCAAGCGATTAGATCGATCGGCGTAAGGCATTATCGTGAATCACTGAAACACTATTTTTTTCTTGTGTGTTTTCCCGCGCGAGCCCTAGAAGAAGATGATTCAGTAATTCCGAATAGTTTCAACTTTCAAGGTTTAGGTTTTCTAAGTAAGAACTTTGTGACGTTTTCGTGTATTGGGAACTACAAGATGGGTAATCATTAGTAGATAAAACGTTCAGCTAATGTTTGTGAACTGAATCGGACCGGACCATATCCCATGCAATTCTTTGGGTTAAAATACACAAACTGACAAAACACGAGTGATCTAATATGATATTGTAAGATTTTTTCTAAGTGAAGTTTTGAGAGATTGTTACGTGTTATTTTTAGTGTTAAAATTTTTTCATTTTTAATACCTTAGTTTTACTTAATTTAGACATCTACCCCTCTAGATTTTAGAATTTTTGCATTGATTTTTTAAAGTAAAAATATGATATTAATATATTAACTTAAAATAGACATTTAGTTAACATCAAATTATCTTCATAAATTAATTAAAATATGTAAACCATATTCTAATAGATAACTATTTTTTTTTCAATATATCTTTTCAAATTCTTTAAAATTTTCTTTTAGAACTTCCGAAAATCTATAATATTTAACTTTTTAAAATATTTTCATAGCTTTTAAACTCAATTTACTAATTTAACTATCACCCTCTAATGCAATATTGTAAGGTTTTTTCTAAGTGAAACTTTGAGAGGCTGCCACGTGTAACTTTTAGTGTTAAAATTTTTTCATTTTTAGTACCTTAGTTTTACTTAATTTAGACATCTACCCCTCTAGATTTTAAAAATTTTGCATTGATTTTTTGAAGTAAAAATGTGATATTAATATATTAACTTAAAGTAGACATTCATAAACATCAAATTATCTTCATACATTAATTAAAACATGTAAACCATATTCTAATAGATAACTGTTTTTTTTTTCAATATATCTTTTCAAATTCTTTAAAAATTTTTCTTTAGAACTTCCGAAAATCTATAATATTTAACTTCTTAAAATATTTTCATAGTTTTTAAACTCAATTTACTAATTTAGCTATCACCCTCTAATGCAATTGAAAAAAATTTGCGTCGGACAAGGTAACTTTCGTAACCAAACTCTCGAAAGAAAACTTCACTCCACCACATATTGTAAATCCAGAAAAACAGATTTACTTCACCGGTGAATTAATATGAAAGATAAAAATCACATCAAAACGATAAATAGAGTGAGACAAAAATACAATCAAACATCAATTATTCTCTCCTTATGATTCAAGGTTCTAATAAAATAAATAAGAAGATATATTCCAACATCCCTGTTGAGATGATATAAATGTCTCGGTAGAAGCAAAGCAGACGTATACATATTTGATGCAAAAAAATAAAAACGACCAATAATGCGGGAAACCGTAGTGAATATTGGTTTAGACATTCAAGTTAAGGATTTGTTCCATAGAATATGTTTTCCATATGCTATTATTTTTATCAATAAACGGTCTATTTCTTTTTCTATTTAACATTGTATATATCCAATAATTTGCTACAAATGTTTAGTCTTCTAGTTTAAATAATTTTTACTATAAATACCAAATTTATATAATATTAAATACACAAATAATCAATAACTATAAAATTTTAATATTAATTTTAGCCATGTTAATTTTTACCCACGTAACGCGTGGGCAATTCCTAGTTAGTTTATAAATTATCGTTTTACATCAATAATGTTCTTACTACAGTTGAAGAACCAAAAAAAAAACTTGCTAAATTTTAATTTCTTATAACATCACTCGTTATAGAATTGTTCTCATAATTTGTAATCAAATAATAATAAATCCAGACAATTAAAAAAAAATAACGCCACATGTTACCAAAATGGCTTGTTTCTCTATGTCCCAATAAACAATTCGAAATTTTGTAGATTTTTTTTTTAATTTTTGTCAACTGAATTTTTGTCAACTGAATCACATGTAAGATTTGTTCGTTATAGAATTGTTCTCATAATTTGTAATCAAATAATAATAAATCCAGACAATTAAAAAAAAAATAACGTCACATGTTACCAAAATGGCTTGTTTCTCTATGTCCCAATAAACAATTCGAAATTTTGTAGATTTTTTTTTTTAATTTTTGTCAACTGAATTTATAAAACTTGATTATGGAGTAGTTAACATGACATATGGGGATGAGCTGTAATGTTAAATAAATCCCATTGTATAGTAGAATATATTTCAGATCTATAATGAAATCTTTAAAACAAAGAAGATTTTGTATTTTTATTGATCCTTTTCATAAACCAGAAAGCCAATGATCTCGTCGAGTAATTTCACACTAGGAGAGAGAGCATAGTCAAGAAGATGCCCATCAATTATTAACGAATTAGTCACAAAAAGTTGAATTAACGAATGGTCAAATTTTTTGATAATTGACAAATAATTTGCACTCTTTTAAAAATGAGCGCAGAAAAGTTGAAAAATAAATCATGAGAAGCATCCCAATTGCCGATAGTGTGAATCCAGACTGATCAAGAACTAAATGAGTTGTTGACAAAATTATTGGCGCATCATATTAAACAAAGAAAAATGAATTAGAAACGTGGGAAATGTTGTGAAAGATGAAATGTAAACGAACAAGCTAGGGTCAAGGTTAACTAACACTGTCACACAAAATATATCTAGGTGAATGACTTTTTAGGGACGTGCAAGATAATCTATAACATGTGTTAAATTAATCTATTCCAAAAAAAGGTGGCAAGACAAATGCTAACGATTGATAAACAACTAGATAAGAAAAATGGAACATAGATCAAATTAACAGTTCAAAATGGGATTTTGCAAAACCAATATTTATTATGACTATATATGGCACGATTGCATGTCTCAGGATTAGTCATATCTCGGTCTATATAATTAAAAACCGGTTAGATTGTACGTAATCAATGATGACAAACAACATAAAAATAACTAAATTAGGCAATATTTTATGCTAAATGTTTTTCAAACCTTTTTTCATACATTTTGAAAGCATATATGTTATAATATGCTCTCTCCGTTTTAAAGATTTTATAGAGTTTT